ATAAAGCCATATAGGGTGCTGCCTGGACCACCAGAGTCTTAATCTGTGGTCCATACTGGAGGCTGGAGCTTTGCTTTGTACTAAGATGTGTAATGGTAGCCTTGGGTGGACTTGGAGAAACACCTATCCAGTCTTCTGTTCCGTATGTTTCTGCTAGCTCTGACCGTATTGAGACCAAATGCGATTATCAGTGTTACTGTTACCCAAGCGCACTGCTCCCTGGAACTCCTCAGGGCTCTTGTGACAAAGGATGCTAGTTGTCAGTGTGCTTTGTGCTTTGGCTGGGGTCAGCCCATTCATGCGTATTCTGATTTCTAAGGCCCATGTTGTTGGAATAATCCCAGACCTGCAGGGATGAACTCCCACAGCCCAGGGGCTGAGGGAAGACACATGGGTGACCCATTCCACTAGATGCAAGGTTAGTAGCCAGTAAATCATGTGATCTCCAGGAGAGCAGGCTCCAGGCTGCTTGAGGAAGCAGACATGTCTGTTCCTTTTGCTCCTGAACCTAGGTGGTTCTGGGGGTTCAAACCCAATTTCTTTGTGGGTATGCTTTAGGACTCTACAGCTCCGGCCATTGGGGTTACCCTCCACTTTTTCTGAGGCAGAGTTCCAGGTGGCTCAAGCTTGAAATTACTATGTCACCTACGAGAGTGGCCTTGATCATCCTGCTTCCCCTGTGGACTGCATCACCGTGTTTAGTTTATACAATGCTGAGGACTGAGCGTGCTTCATGCGTGCTAGGCAAGAACCCTACCCATTGAAGCACAGCCCAGTTTTGCCCTTCTCTTTCATGGCTATCCTGACTTCCTGTTTAAGCATCCCCCGAGCGTGATGTGGTGGGGACAGCAGGTGCTTACTCCTGAGTTCTGGATGCTGTTGTACCACTTGATGTTGTTGAGAACCAGCAGCAAGCTGAGCCTGGACGGGTGCCAGTGGCCCACGGCCCATGGACAGCCTATCTTCAGATGTTATCTATAGCTGGGGTGCCCTGAGTCTGGGGGACCTCTCAGGAGCAGGGGATGGATGACCTACAGGCTGGGTACAGACAGCTGGGGCTCTATGCAGGGAGCTGAGAACTAAGGTAAGGCCACAGGAGCCCAGAGGTGGGGCGGCGAGCACCATACCCACACGCCACCTGGTACTCACAGCCATTTTCTCCACAGGGTATGAAGAAAAGTCTCCAGACAGGGTAAGTGGAGAGACAGACTAGAACCACAGAGGTCTAGATTGATCCCATCCCATGTCCCTGTCCTTCATTCCCTGCCCATCAGGGGCAGGACCACTCCTCAGCTTGGGCCCTACTTGAATCTGTGGGGCATCAGACAGCCCTGAGAGGGGAATGAGCAGAGGAAGCTGGACAGTCTTAGAGTCCACAGAGCTGCCCTGGTGATGGAGCAGAGCAGATTCATGTTTTCTGTAAGCCTGGGAGGTCTTTGTTGAGGAGTGCTGAGGGGGACTCCATTCTGGATGGGAAAGCTCCAACTGATTCTTCACTGGGGTCCCAGTCCCACCCTCTCCATCTTTCCTTTCTCTACTTCATGGGACCTGCTGCCCTGCTCTTCTTCTTTTCTTTGAAAAGAGATCATTTATTTATTTTTCAGCATCTGTGTGGGAATTCTGCCTGTGTGTATGTATTGTGCCTTGTGTTCAAGGAGATCCAAAGAGGACATCAGCTCTCCTGGAACTGGAGTCTCAGATGTTCATGAGTTCTTACTTGGGTGTTGGCAACTGAACCCTGGTCCTCTGCAAGAGCAATGAGCACACTCATAAGCACCGGGCCGTCTCTCCAGCCCCTAGCTCAACCACTTTATAAGGAAGTCTAAGCTGTTTGCTGCCTCCCCGAAGCCAGAAACACAAAAGCATGTTTATAAATTTTGATTTTGTTTTCAGAACAGCTAAAGGAACACAATTGGCATTTAAGGGGGCTAAAAACCAAGTGCATGGATTCAGGGTGTGTGTGTGTGTGTGTGTCTGGTGGTGGTGGGGTCCCTGGGCATTGCCGTGCTCCCTTCTGTAGAGGGAACGATTGGTTGCACATTAAGTGTTCCGGGTAGATGAGGGCTCAGTGCAGCTGTTCAGGTAAGATGCTCTGCAGTGGGCACAGCTAGCTGTTTATGCATTATATGGTTACTTGGTTACTTTATAGTTCAAGAGTGCCCGGAGGAACCCATACGCTCATTTGCCTGTTTTTTTGTGACTTAAGAGCAGTTTTGCCATTTGGAAGTCCTTGTGGAGGCTTGGAGTTCTGAAGTCTTTGCATCTGGTCTCACTTTCTGTTATATAACTGATTCAATAGAAGTGGAGAGCTTGTGTGGTTAAGGAGAGAGCCCCTTAGGAGCCATGTGACCCAAGCAAAGTGCTCTTCTGAGCCCCAATTTCTCCTCTTGTACAATGAAGAGATCATATCGCCCACCTTCCAGGACAAGCTCAGCAGTGTGCCAATCCTCTTTGAAGTACAAAGTGTGTGCAATCAGGGTATTATCCCTCCTGCCATCATTCAGTGTGACATTGTTTCCATGGGAAAGTCTGAATTGCTTTATGACAATTGGATTTGCAATGTCGTTTCCAGGAATGCATTTGTCTCGAAGCAGTCGTTGGCCAAGAGCAACATAACCTGACCCAGGAATAAAATGCATCTGTGCTGGCACACAGAGCTGTCTAGGAAGGCTTGGCAGAAAAAGAAAAGGAGAGAAAAAGACTTGTACAGGCGGGGAGGCTTGTGCTGTTCCGCCGCACTTTCTACAATGGAGTTCTTGGGTAGCGTTCTCCAGAGAGACAGGAGAAAGCCAGGAGTGTGTGATGCAGTCATCATCTGTCTGTCAGTCTGTCTGTCTATCTATCTGTCTGTCTGTCTGTCAGTCTGTCTATCTATCTATCTATCTATCTATCTATCTATCTATCATCTATCTATCTACTCATCTATCTATCATCTATCTATCTATCTATCTATCATCTGTCTATCTATCTATCTATCTATCTATCTATCTATCTATCATCTATCTATCTATCATCTATCTATCTATTCATCTAACTATCTATCATCTGTCTATCTATCATCTATCTATCTATCTATCTATCTATCTATCTATCTATCTATCTATTGTCTATCGATCATGTTTCTCTTTCTTTCTCTCTTTCTTTCTTTCTTTCTTTCTTTCTTCCTATTCTCTCTCCCCCTGCCTTCTCTCTCTCCCTCTCTGTTTCCCCCACCTCTCTCTCCCTCCCTATCTATATAGCTAAAAGAAATGTCTTGGGTTGGATTGGCAGGTTAGTGACCAAGAAGAATAGCAATTAGAATCCAGAGGTCATCTTCTGGGAAGAATTCCCTCTGTCTGGGCAGGTCAGTCTTTGTTGTGTTCAGGCCTTTAAGTGCCTAGCTGAGGCTCACTCACATCCCATAGCTAATCTGCCTTATACAAAGTTTTGGGATGAATGTATTTGTCTTATGTACAAAATTCTCACCCCTAAAACATTTACAATAATATTTCATGAAATATCTTGGCATGGTGGCCCAACCAGTTGACACACAAGATTCACCTCCCGGGGATGGGATGTGGTTCAGTGGCAGAGCAAGTACTCAGCATGCGGAGAGTTCTGGATGTGAGCCTCAAAATCAGCAGAGTCACCCTCCACCTCCCTCCTTAGGCCTCCCCTCCTTCCTCTCCCCACAGGGCCCCAGCAACCACCCAGAAGTTGCAGCATTTTTTCTTCCTTGTGTGTTCATAGGAAAACTTAACTTTTTGTGTCCCCAAGGCAGATCAAGTGACAGCTTCCACTGAGCTGTGTGGCCTGGTGAAAGATTTACAAGGAGGATGAACTGAGGAATCACTAGTTCTTACCCATCATACCCCCTGTGAGAGACCATCTGGTCCAGGCAGTATTCGCTGGTGTGTGCGGGTGTGCGTGCGTGTGTGTGTGTGGCTCTCACCTCAAGCTTCCATAAACATCCTTTTTATATAACATGAGCTTGGGGGTTGGGGCCAGACCAAGTCTGAAGAGAGATATGGGTGGTTAGCCACTGGCTAGCTCCTTTGAAGGTAGAACACAGGAGGTGACGTCACTTGGGGCTCCCTGTCTTAGATGCGCAGGGCTAAGGATACAGGTTGGCAGTCATCAGGATACTACTGCTACTACGAAATAAACATCATTGCTAGATCATGATGTGATTTGGAAGGTACGTAAGGAATCCAATAACAAGAGTAGTGAGACTCTTTCCTCTTCCAGCCCCATCACACATGTGAGCAAAACCACTCCGTGCCTGAGTCTGTAAAGACAGAAACGTGAGCACAAGGCACATACTGAATCTTGTCCCATTCAAGCAGTAAGCAGCATTTCCCCGTGGGGTCTTGATCTAATTCATCTCCAGAAAAGATGCATTTCCACATTTTAATTATTTATTAAAGTTTATAGCTGTTTTGATCAACTTCATATTAGTAATAATTGCTAAAAATAATTCAATCCAGAAGAAATGTAGTCAAGATGTATGGATTTATGATCATGGGGAATAAAATTTAATTTTACAAACATGTTTGGCTCCCTGTGAAGTATGGAAGGATGATCGATAAAACCCTTTCAAAGGCGAAGCGTTGCATGAAGATGAAGTTGCTCGGGGGGAGGTGGAATAGGACTATTGGTTCAAAGAGAAAAACGATGTCACGCTTCAAATTTTTAAAGAAGTCACATGTGTACTTTTTAACACGAAATCACTAAGACCTCCCGATTACATGGAATCATCTCACTTTTAAACGAAAACACTTCAGATATATCAGAAATTACCTTCTACAATTATTTCAGTTTTGAAAATGTTCGTAAGACAAGCTACAAGACGTGGTTTTTCAAAATACTTTTATTTTTTATTTTATATTATTATTATTATTTAGCAGATCTTGCCTCAAGTTTATTGGTCAAAACAGCATAAAGTCTTGGCCATCTGCAAACAGAGTGTAGGTGTTCACACCGGTCCATCTGCCTTCACATTGGCAGATTGAGGCCTTTTTCTATGAGGCCTTCCCAGGGGCCTGGGAACCTTTGGGAACCTGAGCTGGAGCTGAGGCCTCTGCCTTGGTTTGAACCTTGGGATTTGGTTTTTGGAGCCTTCGAGCCCTGAACATGCAGCTTCTAATTCAAGCTTCATATCAAAGCCCCATATCAAAAATTCCCAAGCTCGGGGTGAGCAATGAAAGCGAGACGGCTGAGTTTGCGGCTGGGGTCCTTTGGCCTCTTGGGCTTCACCACCTGGGGCTTCTTGACGGCCTCTGCACATGCGCTCATTGCTTTTGCATTATTTGCCTGCATCTTCTTCATGCCATTCTTGTTGTGCTTCTTGGCAAAGCACATGTTCCTCAGGAACGTGGGGTCGACCCCCTTGAGAGAGTCATTATCTTTGTGACCGGGTTTCTTGATGCCCTTCTGTGCCATTTTCGGGATTGGTTGTGTGGTGTGGTTCTTGGACTTGGGCATGTCTGAACGGTAACCGGCGGCTCCTGAAGTGCCTGCGACCGGAAGAGAAAGAGTCAAAAGACTTTTAAGTAGCAGGTGGAGACTACTGTGATACCGCCTTGTCCTCTTGTCCAAAGAAACCACCGCTGGCCAGCACAGTCCATTCTGCTGCTCTCCGCCCTTGCTCCCTCTTGTCTGAGAAGAGTGCACTCGCAGGAGAAAGGGTCTTGACCGGACCATCTAGAAAGATGGGAATAAACACATGGTATCAGTGAACAGAAAGAGCTCGTTTGGTGGCGGTGTCGGGGAAAGCTTGGGTTAGCAGGGAGAACACGAAGCCGCCTGCCCTCAGAATTCTTCCATTGCGTAGCTGGGCTGGATAAGTGAGGCGTCACCCATTCCCACCGAAAGCCTTGCTACACGGGGTCTGCCTCCTTATGGGCAAAGTTTAAGGGAGATGTAATGACAGCGAAAGAAACCTGTCTGCGCAGTACAGGGTGGACTGGCCCCGAGGATTTCTTGGGAACCCCAGAACCGTTCTCCCTGGAGACTGGGTCAGGGGAGGCCGGAGGGCATAAGGCTCTCTTTGCAGAGGATTGGGTTGAGGGAGGGGAGGAAACCCTCTGGTGAGGGGAGATGCTGAAACCTACTGGCTTCATATTAAAGAAACCAGGATAGGGACTTGGGGTGATGCTTAGACAACCTGCCCCTCTGTCACATGTGTATCTGGGTTCCCCCAGTCTTGTAATTCTCCAGCAGGGTATGAAACAGTGATTTCAGATACATTAAATCCCACAGGTCCAAACGTTGAAAACCTTTCTTGCACAAACGAGTAAGACCCTGCAAGTGTTAACATTTTGTTACTGTAGACACTTAAACGATTTGAATGCAGAAGGAAAGAGATTGTGAGAGGCGTTGCTGCTGGGACTCAGTGAGCACCCAGGGGGGCGGGGACAGTGTTTCTGTCAGTTTCTAACACACATAAAAAAAGGCATGCCAAGGGCTGGAGAGTTGGCCAGTTAAGTGTGCACACTGCTCCTACAGAGGACCCATGTCTGGTAGCTCACAAGCTCCAGGGCATAAGGTGCCCTCTTCTGGGTTTCAAGGACACCTGCAAACTCACATACAGACACTCACGTGTGTACATAATTAAAACGGCCTTCGGAGACTTTTGTGTCTAGAGTTTTTTTTTCCTCCTTTCTAACACTTTGCGTTTATTTTCTTTCTATGTGTGACTAATCATGGCCCCTAGGAGCCCTTTTCAGACTTTAAGGCACAGAACCAAACTGGGTATGGCGGAGCACGCATCTAATCCCAGTCCAGGAGAGAGAGGCAGAAGCAGATCAGTGTGAGTTTGAGGCCAGCCTGGTCTACATAGCGAGTTCCATGTCATCCAGAGCCACACAGTGAGACCCTGTCTCAGAAAACAAACACGCACAAAACCAACCAACCAAACAAACAAAAAACAGATACAGACACTATGTTCTCATGACCAAACAGAGACCAAGACTGTGGAGTTTTTCTTGCCCATTTGTATCAAAAGGTATGTCAGTCAGTTTTAGTCGATGTGATAAAGACCTCAGGCTATCTGTCTGGAAGAAGAGATTTATGGGGCTCACACTTACTTGTCTGGCTCCATTGTTTTGAGCTGCTGTGAGGAAGAACGTTGTGTTGGGGAATCTATGACCCAATAAAGTTGCTCACTCCATGGCTAAGGTGAGAGTGGAGGGTGGGGAGACTGACTAGGGGCTCAGTCTCCACTATGTATGTCCCTCTAGGACCCCACAACCTAAAACAAGGCCCCAGGTCCGAAAGGCCCCACTATCTCCGAATAAAGTCACAGACTTGTGTGTGCTCAGACCTTCTTGTTGGTCCCACCAGTCCCCAAATAATAACCCAGGGACTTCTTATTGATTGCGAAAGCTTGGTCTTCAGCTTGTGCTTGTTCCCAACCGGGTCTTATAACTTGAATCAGCCTGTCTCTGTCAATCTATGTTCTGCCACATGGCTTTTTACTGCTGTTTCATTCTGTATGTCTGACTTGCTCTGCATCTTACTGGCTTCTCTCGTGCACCTAGATTCTTCCCAAGTTCCTGTCTTTACCCGGAAGTTCAGCCTAACCTCTTCTGCCTAGCTATTGGCTATTCAGCTCATTATTAAACCAACCAGAAGGTGCCTTTCACACACTGTGATCAAACATCCCCCAACTTTGGTGACCAAGTTTCCAGCATGTGAATCACCTTGGTGGCTTTGAAATCCAAATTATCTCAGCAGCAAGAGCTTGAGTGGGATATGGGGGTACTCACCCATAATCCCAGCACTCAGAAATGGAGGTAGGAGGACCATTGGCTAGGACAGGGATAGTTCAGTTGGTAAATCCTGCAAGCAAGACCTGAGTTCCAACCCAGAACCCACATCCTTGTAATCCTAGTGCTGAAAAGGCAGAGGTAAGCAGACCTCTGGGGCTCACTGGCCAGTGGGCCTAGCCAAACAAGAGACTGTGCTAGTTTCTTCTCCTTCTCCTTCTCCTTCTCCTTCTCCTTCTCCTTCTTCTTCTTCTTCTTCTTCTTCTTCTTCTTCTCCTCCTCCTCTTCCTCCTCCTCCTCCTCCTCCTCCTCCTCCTTCTTCTTCTCCTGCTCCTCCTCTTCCTCCTCCTCCTCTTCCTCCTCCTCTTCCTCCTGCTCCTCCTCCTGCTCCTCCTCCTGCTCCTCCTCCTGTTCCTCCTCCTCCTCCTCCTCCTCTCCTTCTCCTTCTCCTTCTCCTTCTCCTTCTTCTTCTTCTTCTTCTTCTTCTTCTTCTTCTTCTTCTTCTGACAGATTCTCTCTATAGAGCCCTGGCTATCCTAGAACTCACTATATAGACTAGGCTGGCTTTGAACTCACAGAGATCCACCTGCCTCTGCTTCCTAGTACTGGGATTAAAGGTGTGTGCTACCATGCCTAGTCTTAGTTTCTGAGTCAACTTGACACAAGGTAGGGTTATCTGGGAAGAAGGAATCATAACTGAGAAACTACTTCCATAGAACCTACCTGTAGGCAAGTTGAGAAAATTTTCTTGATTGACTACCGATGTGGGAGGGCACAGCCCACTGTGGGTGATGCCACCGCTGGGCAGGTGGTCCTGGGCTGTATAAGAAAATAAGCTGAGCAAGCCAGGAGGATCATGCCAGTAAGAGGCATCCTCCATGGCCTCTGGATCAGTTCCTGCCTCCAGGTTCCTGCCCTGTTGGAGTTCCTGTCCTGAATTTCCTCAGGGATGGACTGTTATCTGGAAGTGTAAACTGAAATAAACCCTTTCCTCCCCAAGTTGCTTTTGGTCATGGTGTTTTTATCACAGCAAGTCCTAAGACAGAGGCCGTGTTTAAAACAAAACACAAAACAAAATAAAACAAAAACAAAACACCTTCCCAAACCAGGGTGAATGGTACCTGAGGAATATCTTCAAGATTGGCCTCTGGCTTCCACACCCATGCACGCGTGTGTGCGGTACCTGCCCCCAACACACATTCATCGTTAGCCATACAGGAAGCTTATTGCTACCCTTGACTGCATGAAACCCTCTATCAAAAACAAAACAAGTAAAAATATTAAAGAGACAAGGTTTCCTTCCCACATCCACGAGGTTACCATGCAGTTGAAGAACTGGACTGGTTTTATTTTCTTGCATTTGGCAAAAAAAAAAAAAAAAAAAAAATCGCATGTAGAGCAACCTGAAAGTACGCGTTGGTCCAGAGCATCTTTCTTTATCAAAGCCACCCCGTTTGCCTTCGTTCTATGCCTTACACAGTTTGGAGGCAGATCGCTTGCTTTGATGGTACCGCTCTTTCACCTTTTCAAATCCCTGGGGGGAATTTCCCCCCTGGCTTTCTTCCTCTGCACCTGGCCAAGTTCCCTGCACACAACAGCCAGTCAATAAATATCTGTCGTGGCTGGTGATGTTCAGAGTGAAATTGAGGAAGCCTTTCATGTGTTGATAATGGCGGCGCTGCGCATTGGATCGGGCGTGAGGGGCCGCCAGAAGCATCGATGATTACCGTCGCAACTCCATCTCCCTGCGCCGACTTAGCAAGCCTCTGATTGAACGATGATAAAGGTATCATTTTCCTGCATTAGGAGGAAGAGGTATATGGAGATTTGACGCGCGCGGTGTTTCATAACTTTCTCTGGATAAAAATAGGGGCATTTGTCTTCTTTCATCTAAGGCGGAATCATTTCTGAAATGGAGTCTTAAATTTCGAGGTGTAGAACATTTCCAGTTAAACATCCTTGAGAAAGCTCGCTTCATGTTTTTCTGCCCAAATGGGGAGTAAGATTGCAGAAACCTGTTACCTCCCGATAATGGGCGCTCTGAATGGGGGTGTGGCTGCCGGAAGCGCAGTCACTCCTGGAGGCCTTCTTACTGGATGCTGGCTTTTGTTTCACCCTAGAGCTGTGGTTCAGGGGGGTGGGGCCACAGTGTCCTGAGAAAGAAGAATAAAGGGCAGTCCTCTATAGTGGCATTTTTGGGACACCCACCTTGTGCCAGGTACTGTGGCAGCAAAGGTGCAGACATGTTAATGGCACAGAGGACAGAGACCTCCAGGGAATGGGGACTGGGGGTGTAGGGAGAGCAGTTGTCTGCATCCAGTTGCTAGTTGATGCTGTGTGTTAAGCTCATGAAGGCACTGCAGGGCTGCTGCTGAGATTTTGGCATAGAAGGGATGGAGGCAAGTATGAATGAATGGTCTCAGCTATGCAATGACATTTTATTTTTTTGTATTTATTTTTAGTTTATTGCAGAGAGGTTTGCTTGCACTTATATGTGTATATACCATATATAGGCCTGGTGCCCGCAAAGATCAGAAGATGGCACCAAATCCCCAGAAACTGGAGTCATAGACGCTTGTGAGATGCTGTGTGGGAGCTGAGATTTGAACCTGGATCCTCTGCAAGAGCAGTCAATGCTCCTAACCACTGAGACATCTCTTTAGCCTTTCCACCTTATTTTTTTCAGACAGTGCTCCTCGCTGAATTTGGAGCTAG